TTAGTTAGATAATGAACCATATTGAGGAATTGAATTGGATAAATAAGAGAAATGGATGGTGGCATGGATGTATTTGTTGTCGGGAGATGAGAAGGGTATGAATTGGTCTGCACGTGTTAATCATTTGTCGAATGATAATGGTTTAGTTATTTCTTATATTGGGTTTAGTTTATCTCTATTGGGTTTTGGCTCACCCTTCTTGGGACACCATTTTCAGGTACAGAAGACGTGCCAAGTTCAAGACCTTTGCTTAGAAAGTTGTCGGAGTTGAAGACTCTATTTTGCTATTTGTTTTATTGATTTCATGTAAATGCAAGCCGAGGGCTTTACTGGTAAAAGAGTTAAAACTCTTCTTATGTGTAACCAAGTAGCAACTTGGAAAGATGTAAGCCCGCAGGGCATTTTATTATTGTTGTAAACATTTGTTACCTATATGAAATCCTCTTTTGTAATATTAACTCTGATATATATATGGAAAAGTGATCTATCTTTCATTTATATAGAACTGTTAGATGTTGGATTTATGTATTATTTTGAGGGCGTTACAGGAGCTCACATAGAAGTGCTTGTTCGGTCACACAATGCGAAACAATTTACAAAACTTCGGTGTTATAACGCCAAAATGAATTGGTTTGTCTAACCTTTTGTTCCTATATATTTACAGAGCCACTTCCTTCTAAATAATATAGTAATAATTTGTGTCAGGCCTGTTCGGTAATAAAATGCTAATGAATTTCAATTACTCCAGTGTTGTGTTACTAGGCAAACTTTTTTTTCCCAACATTATGTTGCCGTACAATTGGATAATTTCAATCTGCTTCACAACAAAGTCAATGGAGCCTACTGTGAAGTGTTTGTTTAGTCACACGGTACTAGACAAATTACATTTTTCTAGTGTTATGTTGTTAGAAAAAATAGATTTGTCTAGCATTTTATTGCTATACATTTACAGAGCCACTTTGTTCCAAACGATAATTTAGGCCTGTTCGGTAATACAATGTTAACGAATTTGAATTAATCCAGTTCGATAAAAAAGTATCTATAAATTAAACACGCATCTATAAAATCATACATAAAAAGTATCTATAAAATTTTTCATAAAAAATCAAGTGTATGAATATCCATAAAAGTATCCATAAAATTTGTCATTATTTGCTTCCATCAATCTAACATGTTATCATAATTCGTCTATATTGATTGTTTCAATAGTTACCACGTCAGGGCTAATAAAAGTACGGAATTGATGCATACGGATAGTATATGCTTTATTCCATCCACTAGCACACGGGTGATGAAAATGAATCCAATTATTTGCTATCAGAGGTACTGGATGACCAGGTTGTAGATAAACCTATAACAAAGAAATTAATAAGTAGAATTACAAAATAAGACATGGTAATGATCTAAGTAGGTTTGGTAGTTACCTGTACAAAATAGTTTCCATTTGCAAATCTTATGCAGATATCTCTTCGATCAAGTGTTACAATCGGTACTGATCTAAGTGGCAGAAACGTCAAGCATTGTTGCATGGATAAATGATAAAGAACGACTCGATAGAATGATGCTATCAAATGACCCATATCGGGCATAGTCATCCAATGATTAAATCCAGGGTCAGGTTCGAAGTAAGATAAGATAGAGTTAAGATCATCAACCCTTTCTTATGAACCAAATAGTTGCACGTAGTGCACTACATTCGAATGCAACTCAGTCAACAAGTTGTGCTTAACTTGTTGCCAATCATCTTCACCTAAACCAATCAATCCAGCTATTGCCCTGAAATCACAATTTCCACCTACTTATACATCTTTTATGTGAGGGATATATGGTCTTAACTTCTCTGGGAATTGTTTGAAGTAAGAGATACGATTTGTTAACTACGTCATACAGAGCTACATCACAAACAAATATACAGCAATGGATATATGAAATAATTAAAATGAGGTTGAACAACTATTAAAATAAATTTTGTATATAGTTACAAGTTTTATGTAATTACATATATTATTGTTTTTTGTCTTTTTCCGTTGCAGTTGCTTACGAACCGGTGCAGTTGATATGGTAACACCTTGTGAATAACTATATTCCCTAGATAGTACAAACTCAAACGCAGATGGCTTGCATTTAGTAGATGTATCGATTTTGAATTGACTATGACTGCAATCTCGCCCCCTATCTCATGTGTCAGTCTTGAGTTCAAGTTCCATCAAAAATGTACTGTGTGGACTAATTAACTCCCTCAACTTCTTCAGAAGGATCACTTGTTGCGTCTCATCAATCGTTTGGAATTTCTCAATAAAAAAACTAGTCTCTATTTTGCAATCCAACTCTACAAAAGCACTTTCTGAAACTAGAAGCATATCTAACTTCCTCCAATGAGGATTTATGCATGAGAGGAGAATCGGTCGACCTTGTTAAAAATACTCAGCTATTTCATGTGCACATGGCGACCTATGTGTACGTCGCAAAATGCAGCCACATGCAACAACATCTATTCCCACATTATTTGATCTTTTTGACTCTACCAAAATATTTTGTCCAAACTACAAATTGAAATAAAACCACATAACTCAATGAACTCAGTAGGTGTGTAGTTGTGTTGGGCTATAATTAAACTCTGCTAAAATGAGGCTTTAATGTTTGCATGCTGCAACTCTAACAAATTGTGTATTTTGGTCCAAGATGTCTCAAAACTGCCATGACTTGATCCAAGTTGCCTCTTTAATTTAGCATGAGAACTCTCCGCCCTACAAGTATGTATATTTTGGTATTCAATATAAAAATCAAAAAATTATAGTAATTCATAAATGTAATGACCATAATTTACTTGTTTGTAGTAGTATTTCCGAAATGTATACTACTGTCTGTCCAAGCTATAACAAAATTTTCCTTATGTGGCCCTAATCAATTGGTAGTAACATACTTAATAGCTTGAGGATACGTACTAAATTCAGTCTTCAGATTGGAAAATTATTCATTGAATTCTGTTTCTGTTCTAACCAATACCAAAGCACTCCAACTATGCATGAACTTATCCCATTTATCTTTCATTTCAAAAATGTTCTTACACTTTATCAGAACATTCTTGCTAATATGCCATCTACATAAAAGATTAGTGGCTATAGGTAAAACTGTTGATATGCCTTTCATCAAAGCCAACTCTCTATCTGTAATAATGACTTTTGGAAAAGCAGTATTCTCCATAATAGTACGCAATACGCCTAAAGCCCATATATAATTGTCCTCCCGTTCATGACCAAGATAAGCAAAAGGAACTGAAAATGTCAAGTCCGTTGATGTTACCCCAACAATCTCTAAGAGAGAGAGTTGATACCTATTAGTCTTGTATGTCCAATCCATAATAAACACATGTGGAAGTACACGTAACAACTCCAAACTAACCGAGTGTCCCCAGAACAAGTCAGTTACCATCTCTCTATCATCACATCGATGCCACTTAACATAATTTTGAATCGACAATTGCCCTAATAGTTGTTGCATCTGTGATCTTCCAGTCCTTTGTACTACTCGATGTCGATGACGTGCGTTAGAGATTGTCTTCATTGTTGTCGCATTAAAGGCATCCTTTTGTTTCAATGTAACCAATATCTCTTTTGGTCGTACTATACTCTTTGGCATGTCAACTAATAATGATGTTTTCTCCTTAGACAATCTGCCAGCAAATGAGTGCCCTTCAAGATGTTCACCAGACGGATAATTGTGCACTCCGCATAAGACATGTAACATCTACTCATCATTTGTAGGTAATTTTTCCCCCGATAATAAAAATGGATATCTATACTTTTTAGAACATGTTAATCTCAATCGTTCCCCCTTGATCTTCCTGTTATCTCTATATTAACCACTTATTTCACAAGCAATGGTAAGTCTTGGTTTTCTGCTATTCCCTCCCGTATCTGATGTTTTTACAACAATGACAAATTCCGTTTTCCTTCAAATGTCAAAAGCCTATTTAATTAATGCTTGACGACTACTAAAAATCTAAACATAATAAATACATTTGTACGTCAAACTATTAATAAAACTCAATACAAATTAAAAATAAGAAAAAATTATATTCATAAAAAAAATTAACAAATCTAGTCTGTAATAAATTAATGACTGGAATCCACTAATAATGCAATACTTGTATTGTTGCAATGAGTATAAGTATAATCCTTCCAAGCAAAAAAAAAAATGAAGCTGAACATACATGGCAATGAGTAGTCGAACAAATTAAAAAAGTCCGGCTTTATATTACTGGAAATATATCTTTTATTTAGCAGTTGGATACCAGACTTATATTTTTTGTTCGGCAATTGATACCGGACTATGCTATTTTGTTCAATTTTGAAATACCGAACAAAAGTTGAAGACCATCCTAGAAAATCAAAACAAAAACCTACTAAACAAATAAAAAAACTCACAATTTTACTTTTTTTATAGTTCTTCACCACCGTTTCTTTATTTATTGCTTTTTTTGATGATCAAAATAGCCTCCGTTTGGGAAGTGGGTTGGCTTTTTGACTTTTTAGTTTTTTTGGCTATTTTAGCCTGGGCTTAAAAGCTTGGTTTGGGAAGGACTTTTTGGCTTTTTGACTTTTTTGAGTTTTTTTGTGAGAGAAGAATGTAATGATTATGGGTTGGATGTGATGTTTTGTTTGTTATGGCTAAAATAGCCTATTTTGTTTTTTGTGACTAAAATAACCAAAAAAGCCTGCAAACCCATTTGTCAAACACAGGCTATGATTATCACTTTTTCAAGAGATGTGTAAGAGAAAAGAAAAATTAAAAAAAAGAAAAGAAGAGTAAGATTTAAAGACCAATGAATATATGAAAATAACCAAATATATTTAATCTTAATATTTTGTCCTTAAAAATAATTTTAAACCTGAATTTTTTAAACCTCAATAAAATTGGAAGAAATAAAAAAAACTTATATTAAGGGCGTAAAGAGGTAAAGCAGTGTGGCACCCATTCTAGATTCCTAGACAATCTTCATTACTTATTTTCTTCTTACAATTCAATTCCTGCGTCTTGTGGTCGATCAATTCAATTCTTTGGAGCTGAGATTCTCTTCTTCGATCCACAACAACCTCAATTTGTATTGCGAACTTGTCAATTTCTTCAATGTTTGTTTCGTGTAAGAAAATTTGGATGATGATGATGTTGTGTATTCGATAGTCATTTTCAATGTGTCTCTCTTTGTTTGATTGTTAATCAGTTTCGAAATCAATTTTATCCAAATTATCGTCTGATCTTTAGAGCTATGCATTCTCCCCTCCCCCCCCCCCCCCCAACTATCAATTTCATCTATTTGTTTATTTATGTAGATTGATATAGTGTAATTCTATTGAGTGCAATTGTGCTTGTCGAATGAAAGAAATTTTGTGAACAAAGATGAGTGGACTCGGTGTTACAATGATGGAGTCGAAGAAACTCGTCTACAGAAATAAGAAGATGAAAAGGAAAGAGGTGAAGGAATGAATGAGTATATAATTAATTTTAGTTTAAAAAAGAAAATGGTAGACGAAAGCTTTTATTCTTTGACTTGATTTGATGATGAATTTTGGGTTGCAGATACTGGAAAAGAAGAAAGAAATATATGAGATTATCAACGCTGCTTCTTCTCCCCACAAGGATCATCTGGCTTCTTTCCCGGCTTTTCGCCATTACCAAAGAAATGGTATACATTTTGCCCCATCTAAAATCATCCTTCACCTTTTAATGCTCAACTTTATATATATGTACTAGAAGGGTGGCACGCATGATGTATCAATTATATTTCTTTCTTAACTATGTTTGGAACGAAAATATTACAGACCAAAAAAGAATAAAGAAAAATATTAGGTAAAGGGTATTATGAATCAAAAATAAAAATGAAAGGTCAATTCAATACAAATTGAAATGCCCAAAGCATCACTATCAAATAAACAAGGCACTCATAATTTAAAAAAAGTACATTTAAAAAAATGAGAAATATTGCACGGGCATTCATAACAATATGAAACAACTACAGTTATTACACACATTTGAATTTCTATGAAGAAGCTTATAGAAGGAGAAGAAATAGTGGTATACTATACCTCAAAACACAAACATCCCAGTGTTCATACCATTGAATAGAGAACCTCATTTGTTTTCCTTGTCCATCAACAGTATGCAAACTGCTTCCAATCATTTCGATTTTTCTTTTGCCTCTATGCGGTAATTTTTGCGTGAATTGTGAGATTGGTTGCAAAGAAATATCTAGTGGTAATCGTTAATCGTTTGCAGGCTTAAGCCCAACCACGTAGAATTGTGAGAGACATGGGAATTAGGAAATCGAATATTAGTATCTAAAGCAGTTATATTTTGAAATCTGCATGAAGTAAAATTGTGAGAGATGTGGGAATTTGGAAGTTTGGTATTAGTATCTGAAGCATTTATTATTTGAAATTTGTTTGTTGTGACAATTAAATGTGTATTACGTGGGTGTATTATGTGGAATTGTTATTTTTACAAATTTGCCCATTGACAACTTCACTATCAGCTAAATTTCAAAATGGCTTCTGCCTTAATATAGTAGTATATATATGCTTTATAAATGCATTGTGAATGTATAGATATGTTGCTCTTATGTCTTTGTTTTTCTGAATTTAGAATTGCTGTGTGAATGCTTAAAAAATATTGACTGATAGAATAACTTCTTGTTCACTGATGGTTTGTAAGGCTGCTAGAAAATATGGGAAACGAAAGGAAGGCATAACCCTTAAACTTTTTTTTTACCTTATCTGTTAGGACTTTAGAAGAGCAAAAATTTGCACTCAATTAGTTCAAAAACAGCAATTTCCCGTAAGATAGAGTTGGATTTCTATCTTTTCTTTTTCTTTTTTCATTTATATTCTTCAATTCAGTTAACAACCACGTAAAACAGTTACAAAATTGACATATTTTTTATCAACAAAAAAATAAAAATATTTTCCAGATTAATTTTTTTTAAAGGTATTTTATTTGTTTTTTCTTCATTTTTTTATTATTTGGTTTTACTTCTTTTATTTGGTCATCAGTGGAAAGTTATCTACCAAAAAGTTTTATTTCTAGATTAAGACCAATAGTTATAACTTATATGGTATTTTACTTAAACTCTTTGTTTTTTGTAATGTTCTTGTTGATTTGATAAGTATTGACTAGGTCAAAGTGTAAACTGAGCTCCCACTCCTTTCGATTTGAAAGTTAGGGCTTCATCGATTTCAATCTGAGCACACACCCTTTGCTGAAAACTATGTTGTTCTTATTTTATTTTATTTTAATTTTGGGCTAATTTCACTTTTATCCACCAAACTATCACTATTTTGTTTATTTTATCCTTAAAACTATCAATTTCATCTATTTACCTTCTAAATTTTCTTGTTTTTGCTCATGTGGTTCAATTGGAGACGATCGTACAAATCAATAACCGTTGAAACTTGATTTGATGGGTAAAATGGTAATTTTGTGCAAATTAGTAACTATTGAAGCTTGATTTGATCAGTAAAAGTGTCATTTCAAAATTTTAACAAGTTAAATCATACAACCAAACATTCATTTTTTTTTGCTGTTTCGAACAAACTACACCTCAACCAATTTGATGAGTATTTGGTTGTATGGTTAATTTGTTCAAATTAGGCTTCAACAATTACTAATTTGTACAATCGTCTCTAATTGGACTACATGAACTAAAATTAGAAACTTTAGGAACTAAATAGATAAAAAATTGATAGTTTAGGGATGAAATAGACAAAATGGTGATGGTTAAGGGTTAAAAGTGGAATTAACCCTTTAGGTTTATAGATCATCGTATATAGCTTCCAGATTAAGAATCTCAGGATGAAATTCTTATAATGGTCTTGTCGTGTTGATTTCCTAGGCCTGTCTGTATACTTGGAATCCGGATGTGGGGATAAGCTTTCCTCTCCTGTAAAGCAGTACATTCAGAACCTCCTTAAGGTAGCAGTAGTTGACATTTCATTTATTCATTCTTTTTTATGTCGGTAAATAATTGATATATATTTTTATTCTTACAGGCCAATATGGAGGGGCCATATGGATCTGAGTGGCCTTTAGCAGAGAAAGTGAAGCGCAGGGAAATGGTTGCTCCAGGAGCACGTTATATATTTGTCCTTGAGGATCCAAATGCAAATCAGGCAACCACAAGTGTAGAAACACAAAGGGCCTCTACTTATTGCATCAATGGTAGGGCCCCCATTGTTGGATTTGTACAATACCGATTTACTGTAGAGGAAGAGATACCTGTTCTTTATGTGTATGAATTACAGCTTGGGCCTCACGTTCAGAGGAAGGGACTCGGAAAATTCTTAATGCAACTAATTGAGCTTATTGCTCACAAGGTACTGAATTCATTTTTCTGTTATCGCTTATTATAATAACGACTAGAAATATACTGAATAAAGAAGGTTTTACCTTAGGGGTCCTTGACAGGATGAGTTTCTCAAAGCATATTAATATTTTTCTTGATAGACTTATGTTGTTTTTGTAAGAGCCTTTGTACACTAACTAATTTGGTTTTCTTAAAAAATTTCTTTACCGCCAATGTAACAGTTGTATTTATAAATTGTGCATTAGTTTAGTGTGCTTAACTTTGTAACTTCAAATAAACTACTCAATGTATTTTGTTTTTGACATAATTTATTACTTTCCATCTTTTGTAGAACCAAATGGGTGCTGTGGTGCTAACTGTTCAAAAAGAAAACTTGTTAGCAATGAATTTTTATATGAGTAAGCTCAGGTAAATCCTCGAATTGATTATAGCAGTACATCTTATGCCTATTATTTAGTAAGATACAGTTCATATATGCATGATATTAATTCAAAACAAGGATTTTCCATTCCCTTTATGTAATGCTAATAATATGCAGCCAAGTTGGCTTTTTTAGCATTAGTATTTATGGGTTTTCTGGGTTATTTTTCAAATAGCTGGATTTGGACTGTAGGGTTCTCCCATAGGTCGTCTTATGGTTGAAATTATGTTATCGGGTCATTGTATCTGTTTTTATTTTGGTCTAGAATCTTTTAAGTCATAATCTCAGAATTGGGAGAGTCAACATCCTGTAAATACTTGTGTAATTGTGCTATTCATAAGAGAGTTGAAAATTTTGAGGATTTGTTTGAAGCTTTTGTGATTTTGTATGTTGTTTTTGTAAGATTCCTTAAAGCTTTTCTGTATATTCAATTGTGTGTTAATACAAAGATTACAACTAATATATATGCAATCCTAACCCTAATCTAAAATAGGAAATAATACAATCAATCTAAAATACACAATTCCATAATTAACATAATATTCTCACAGTTTTTACAAGCTTACCATATGTAATTCCTATGGAGTTTTAAGTAGCATCCTGGAGATCCCTTTCTCTTTCACTTCTCTCTCTACCTTCTGAAACACTATTCTTAGATTACACTTCACAACCCTAGAAATGTCTCTTTTCAGCCCCCAAACCCTAGCCACTCATGCCCAAGTCAACCGTAATGCCTCTCCTTACCTATTGGCCTTTAATTTAACCTCTAAATCCATATTTAACCACTGTTCAAGCCTTCAAATTGTGCAAAATCTTAAAATCCTGCAACCTGCTTCTTCAAAAATCAAGCCAAACACATCTTTTCCACTAGAAATCCTATAAGCCCTCTATAACCTAAAACAGATCCCCTCTAGGGATCAAAGATGCAACCTTCGCAGAAGCAGAAACTCTCCTGCATGGCCATAGTTTTGTCCAAACTATTGATCCTTTTCAAGTCATCATATCAAACAAAAAGGGGTTCTCTTAGCATGATTAGATGGGCGAATGGTAATAATCTAGAACCTTGGCGCCTATGCTTTTTTATCCTGAGAAAAAATTTCTCAATATATGTTGAGTTAAAATTCATCATGTGAAGAGGGAAGGGACTTATTTAGCTGATCGTCAGGCTAACTTGGGTGTTAGGCTGCAGTCTTATAGTCAGTGGATGGGGGGTCTTCCATTCCAGAAGAGATTGTAATTTAACTCTTTGACTTGTTCCCTCTTCAAGTCACCGCTTTACATATAGGCATTTTATTGAGAATGCCTTTTCGGGTTATAAAGGTCCCACCTTACCTTTCAAAAAAATAGTTGCCGAGCCGAAGGAGCTCTCACAAATAGAATTTGAGTACCACGGAGATAAGCTAGCTGGATAAACAAGACGGGGATCGCCCACTCGCCATAATTCCTATTGTAGGGAGCCTTAGGCCCTAATTTGTTAATGTGTACTATGTTTTGGTGGCAATTGGTGGGTGCAAGTACAAGAAGTTAGAGGTTTTGGCAGTATATTATAAGGGTAAGGATTGGTAGATCCATACAAATTTTATTTTATACTCTTATCAAAAAAAAAAAAAAAAGTGTTGGTTGACCTAAATTAAACAAAGAGGAGCTTCAAGGGCTGTTTAAGCTTAAGGTCAGTTTGTCTGGTTTGGGTAATTTTGAATAGTTTAAGGTTAAGGTTGGCTGGGAAACTGGTTATAAATGAATAGGGACATGGGTACAAGAAGAGATTTAGTGCTTAGTTTAGAGTTTATGTGAGCTGAATAATGAGATACCTATGATTAGATCGAAGAACAACATGCAGTGGTTTTAGTTGCTGTGTTAGGATCAGATTGAGGAACAACAATCAACAGTTTTAGTTGTAGAGCAAATTTTGGAATAAGGGGGAGGATCTAGGTATTCTCACCTAGGTGTCCTAAGCAATCACACATAAGTAATGATGAATCACACATAACAGAAAATAAGCTGAAATAGTACGTACTTCATTCAATCATTTCCTCCAACAAACTAATTGTTAATGTGGGGAATGGGTTCTTGCAGTAGCGTACTGATGTGTGCCAATGTCTGTGGGCACTGTTGATATGGATCTTGTCAGTAGGTGATGTAACAACCAACATTTATTCTTTTAGAGAGAGTTTTAGAAATCTTTGATGTAGCTATCAACAATGTTGTGGTAGGAGAATGACTAACTTATTAACGTTAGGGTAAAAGAGCGAGTAGCTTGAGGGAGAGCAAGGCAACCAAGAAGAAATCGTGTTACGGGGTGACAATAGCAAGTATTTAAGTTCTGGACCATCTTCAGGTTTTTGACTTAGGATAATATGGATCAATTTTCAGGCCCTTTGAGTTACGATTCAGAAGATTGCAATATTGTCTTGTGGTCAAGTATCCATATCCGTGCTTCATAGATTATATAGCATGTCATCATTTAATATATTTTTGAATGCACAATTGGAAATAACGATAGGTGGACGATTTCCAGTGTCAAAACTAGTGAAAAAAGAAGTGTGGCACAATGCATGTTACACAAACTTTTGCTGGGAAAAATATTTGATATAATGCTATGGCATGTGGACATTTGACTGCATCACAGAGCAGTCTGATCCACATTCAAATCCGCAATGGAAATGTGAAAAATAAATTGTCATCATTGTCATCCTTTTTTAACTTGGATATGCCAACCCATTATTTAACTACTTAATTATGTGCACGTGTTTGAATCATCTTTACTTTTTCTTCCATTGTATAAAAATATTACCACTATTGACCACCAGCTGGTAGCTTGAGTGGTATCTGTAGCTACCATCAAATGAGATGTGCAGGGGGTCAAGTACCATTTAGGGCAAGGGTGTGTGTCTACTTACAGAACAAGCAAAAAATAGTAAAAGAAGAACAATATTAGTACTACGAATGGCTAAGCAATTTTCTTTATCTTTAACATCCATTTTTCTATAGTGTTGTAACTCATGCTTGATTGTTAACATGGTGCAGGTACACAATATCAACTGTTTCACCATCAAGAGTTGATCCATTGGTAAGTATATATTTTTTTTGGATTGTAACCATCGGTAAGAATTTGTGGCACTACTACTCCTAGAATCGGTGATCGTCTTACTTCTTTCTTTTTTCTCTATAATGGTTTGATCTTGTGTATTACATATGCAGATGGGACTTGAGAAGAGTTATGAGATTCTTTGCAAAGCATTTGATCATGAAGCTAAAGCAATATTGGAGGTATTTTTCATCTCTTTGCATGTGTGTGTAACTTTGCACAGTGCACGCATATTTTGGCATGCCTGCCTGCTTGTTTTTCTTTTCTTTTCCTTTCCTTATTTATTTATTATTATTATTTTTAAAGGTTTTAGTACATAAACTGTGATATTACAACTACTGATTAGAGTTGTATTAACAGCAAATAATTGTTCCACTTCCATGGTTATTTATTGTATTGGAAAGTTACTGTTATATTGGATGTACATTTAAGGGCAATGACGTATGCAAAAAACAGTCTTTTTAAATGTATATCTTATGTACTAGAGACTGTTCGTGGATAGTAATGAAAGATACTGGAGGAAACTCTAATATGCCTTATTGACAAATAATTTTTCTTTTTTGCATGAAGGAAAGCGAGTGACATGGAGGTGAATGAATGTATAGTCTGATTCTTTGATATGTTTTGAGGTTCGCTCCAATCTGACTCTGCCAAGAGCTTTGTCACAATGTTGATGATGTTTTGCTTATTTTAGAAGAAGCAGTGGTATAATGTATATTTCATTATGAACAATCCGCCTGAGTTTCCATGTTATCTACTATTATTATAGTTTTACTTTATGTAAATTAATAGGGTGCACTGGTACAATGGTTAAAACTCAAGCTATTAACTTTGAGGATGTGAGTTTGAACTTGAGAGGGCAACCACTTTGTGCAAATTATGCAAGAGCAATTTACCCATCGTAGAACTCATCTAATGAGACTAAATTGGATGTATTTTTTACCTTTTACTTTCTTGAAATTGGGTGAGTGATCTGTTTTTTTAACGCTTTGTTTGGTTGAGAGATTTGAAAAAATATTTGGAAATGAAAAGTGAAAAAATAGGTGAAATGTGAATAAAAAATGTATTTACATTTCATTTAGTTTTACATATGTTTTTCTTTTTTCTTTCTAAATTTCTTTTCAAATCCCTCAACCAAACACAGTATAAAGGTTGTGTACAAGATTTTCCTTTGTCCTTCAGAATCCTGATCATTGTTATTTTCCTTATGTGCATATACTGTGTTGAAGAAACCCTTTATTCAAACAGTGCAGTCTTGTTATATAAAAGTCTTTGCACCAACAATCTGTATGCCTTCAACTGATGCCTTGCCTTGAACATGACCAAATCATCTATTATAACAAACTTTAAAACTGCCATTTATTTGTTAAGCGCATTACGTGGCCATTTCCTGGGCTATTATTATTATTTTTTTTTATATTTTTGAGTTGCGGATTGCTAGTGCTGATTTGAATTCTAATGTGTTGGAGTTGTTTATAATGTATGGTTTCCTTAAAGCCCAATACTGGTTTGTGAAGGGGAAAGTAGGGGGAAAACATGGAAGGATGTGAACATTTTCAGTGAATATAAATAACTACTACTAGCTGAGAGGTTTTTTTTTTTTTGACGGATGAAATATAAATTAATTTTTTTTTTTAAATTTCCATATTTTTTCTTTCATTTTGTAAAATTTTCACTCAAATTCAATTTGATGGTGATAGGCTTTTTTAATGATTTTTTTTTTAAAATTAAAAAATAAGAAGACCCAATAAAAAACAAAAGAAGATAAAAAAATAGTAGTTTTTTTTTTTTTAGTGAATTTTAAAAAAAAATAATCTTTTTAAAAAAAGGATCTTAAATAAAAATAAAATAAAAGAGATAATTTTGAAAAATAAATAAATAAAGACAAAATTTAAAAAAAAATTGTGATGAGAGAATGAAGGAGAATTTTACAATAAGTTGCGCCACCTTAAAAAATTATATTAAAATAATATTTATTAACAGGTAAACTTTGTTAAAATAAACAACATAATCGACAAACTTTCGAATTATCAAATTTGCTTTGGATAAATTACACAAACCTCATCTGAGCGAGATTTACAAAAAAATATGAGTTTCATAATTTTGGTATAATTAAATTATTTTTTTAAAATTTAATTTATATAATATTTAATATCTTTTCATTAATTTTTTTTTATTGATATTATCATCCCTTTTATTGTATTTTCTTATTTATTATTTTGTTTCTAGTCCTTTTAATCTCACCAAAATTAATGTAATTATGTCAAATTTATATTTTATCCATTTTCTTTATATATTTAGGGGTTGTTTGGAAGGTGGGTTTGGGTGGGTTTGAGGCTAAAATAGTCATAAAAAATAAAATAGGCTTTTTAATCTCAATAAGACAAAAATATCACATCTAATCCATAATTATTATATTTTTTTTCTCACAAAAAAATCAAAAGTCCTTTCTAAACCAGACTTTTTAACTCCAGGCTAAAATAGTCAAAAAAATCAAAAAATAAAAAAGCCAACCCACTTTCCAAACCATGCCTTAGATTTTCTTTAATAAAAAAAAGTGCAGTTAGTTAACTAATTTGGAGATTAGCCTAATCTGCCTATTTCTATCCTATAACTTCAATATAATTTGGGAGTGCAATTTGGGGGCTTGGTGTGCTATCTCCAAGGTTCAGGTTTAACTTTCAATCTATCAATTTTGTGAGGGTTATAACTACTTAGATTTGTCCGACTCACATAAAGCAAGCTTTCTGTGTAAATTTTAAAATTAGTCGAAATATACATAAATTAATCTGAACTCTTGATCATTTAAAAAAAAAAAAAAAAAACTTGTATAGAATTGACATATATAGAATTAAGTTACCCATGTAGAGAGATGTATATGGGGAGTATGAGACGTTCAATTTTGTAACCAATGCTTACTAGTACTAATAATTATTTTATTGGACATGGAGTATTTTATTTTATTTTATTTTGTTGGGCGACGCAGAGCGACAGGCAGCCATTGACAGCGGCACTGAGGTCGTCCACAGCGTAGCTCTCTGGAGGTACCTCCTGCCCTTTCATCTCTTCTCCTCCTATTTCCCACCTTCACTTTTGCAGGTTGTTCACTTGTTTAATCTCATAACTTGTTTGGTTGATTCAATTGAATAATCTGATTAGTTCTTGTAGTTGATTTACTCGATTAATTTGTGAGTTGAGTTGAGATGGAAGGGTTGGTTGGCCTGTTAGTGTTAGGTTTCTTGTTGTTCCCAATTCATTTCTTAACGCTCCGTTTGGATCATTATTTGAATAGATACTATATTTGGAAAGTAAAATGTAAAGAGGTGAGGACAACACGAATGAAAGTTACATTTTTTATTTTTAAATTTCCCTTTTTCTTTCCAAATCTCTACCCCAAATTCATGATTCAAAATATCACATAATTCTCTGTGGGTAATGAAGCTATCCTTCCTGTTGATATGACATGGACGAAGATAATTTTTATAAACAATTGATGTAGATGAACTACACAAACAAACAGCCCCTCGAGTCACTCAAGGAATAGTTTTTTTCAAGCGGAGGAGAATGATGTAGGTGACATTTTTTTGTTCTTGTATTTTGATTCTTATTTATTTTGGTATTAGTATTTTTTTAAGAATCTTTTAGTTTAGTATAGAATCCTAGTGGCCCCGTTTGGTGTAGCTGTTAAAATAGCTTATAGATTATAGCTTAACATATTTAGATTATGACTTTAATCAGAAGTTGTTAATCTGTTTGGTGTACCTGTTGGATTATAGATTTAAGTTGCTGAGTAGTGTTTGTTAAATAATTTAAGTTGCTGAGTAGTGTTTGTTAAATAAGCTGTGAAATAGCTTTTTTAATTAATTTTTATTTTTTATTTGTCTACATTTCTCATAAATAATAAGAATAATAATCTGAGAGGGAGATTAATGATCTAGTACTGGGCTGGACAGATCTAGGCCAGACAGAGTTTTGCCGAACAGATTTGGGTCGGGCAAGTGTTGGGCCGAGGATGTGTGGCCCAGTTTGGAAAGAAGTTGCTCGGTTAAGGCAACGCTTGGTTGGACCGAGCTACATGTTTGGCGGAGGCGAAGCCAGTCAAGTTAAGTGACCGGCGCCCGGAAAGGTGAGGTCAGCCGAGGTACCTGTTTGCTCGGCTTTGCCGAGATGTTGCCTAGCCCGATCCTCATTAAGCTTAGCTAGTGGAGTGCTTGGACATGAAGCACAGCACGACCGTTGGCGGACAAGATGGCGCAGCTCGGCTGCCGAGCTCCCAATAGAGTGAGCGGGCAGTTGAGATTAGGTGACGCTCAGCAGGATTTGTGCTGACAGATGAGATAGCAGAGCCACGTGTCGAGAGACCATTAGGAGCAGGTTTGGGACGCAGAAGGGTATATAAGCATGTCTGCGCCCCCCATACGAAAGAGACGGACACTTCGTAAGGAACTCCTACACTCAAACACTCTCTCTCTCTCTCCTCTCCCTAAGGTGTGTGCTAATTAGATCGTCGGAGGGGTTTTCTGGCCACACACCGCCGGGTAGCTCACCCTCATTGTGCTTTCAGGTGATCGGACAGAAATGGAGCTTGGAGGAAAGGAGTGCGGGCTTGCTGAAATATTTGCTCCCCGTACATAATCTATAGTCCATTTGGATCTTTTTCTATTTTCAAAAAAATAAAAAATAAAAAAATTTAAGAGTATAACCATAAATTAACATGTTTACAGCAGAAGCTGATAATCAGAAGTAAGGGGTGAGCAACTTCTCAGAATCAGTTTTTTTGCTGTTAGAATCACAAGCTGTTTGAAATAAGTTTAACCAAACAGTCCAAAATAACTTTTTCAAACCTAAAGCCATAAGTTAGCTCTGAAAAGCTGAAACAAACACCCCCAGTATCATTATATTTCTCAAATTGTGTTGATTTAACTAGTTTTCTATTTTATTAGTTTATTGTTTTCCAAGAATTAGGTTTATTATAATAATGGTTGTAAACCTTAGTTAAAAAAAAGAAGCTTTTGATGATTTATAAGACCGTGAGTTGATGATATACTTTTTCTTTCTACCTTGGGTATTCTTTTGGGAATTAATCATTGTTGAGCTTTATTCTCGGTATTCATTGTGAGTCAACTAGTCTAGAGAAGGATCATGTTTCTGGGTATTCATCTTTGCAGCAATGAACCCAAAGATCGTCACTATTTCGCGTTTCTTGCTACATCACACTTTCATAAAGTACCCCATAATTATGGAGTCACTAAAGCAGCACATCACATGTTTGATTAAATGTTCCACTTAATGAGGCCCGTAATGGTGCATAATTAATATGAATGCTGCATACACAAACAATATAATGGGTCATACAAAAATTACATGTACGTGTACATATTGATATATAACTGAAATTGCCAGCCAATATATATCTATATACACACACACATCCACATCATTGTTTGGTGGTAGTGACATATTCACATAGTTCTCTCATTCCAGTTCATTTTAGTTTGTGCATTCTCAGTCTCCAAATAATGCTCCATAATTTGTTGTAGGGTATGCTAGATGATGGCATGGCTCACGGTCATTGTTTCATTTTTTGTACTCTGGATAGCTTCGTTGTGCAAGATTCTTCACAAAACACGCTCATCTTCCAAGGCTACATTCTTAAATAATGGTGGTTAAGTGATCCTTATAAAGGATTTTTACACATTGTATTTCTTTAGGCATTTCTTGGTTGGCTTAATACCAGTTTTCCATCAAATTCAGGTGCAGGGCTTCGCCGGAAAAATGCATTGCTGGTTATGGCCCATCCTGATGATGAGTCTATGTAAACTTTAAAATCTTATATTTTTTTTTTTGGTTGCACAGTTGCATGCAGTTTTCATTTTTGCATTGAAATTAAATTATATTGCAATTCTTTTTACAGTTTCTTTTTTCTTTTTGTTGTAAAGATCATGGTTGTAAAATATCATTCTTGACCGTTTTCAGCACTACTAAGATTATTATGTGAATTTCTTGTCCATAAATAGTGTTAAACTTACATTAATTAATAGTGTAATTGATGTTAATAGGGGTTATAAACTGGCCCTACCATTGTGGGTGCTGGGACGGATACAGACCCAATTCCGGGCATTATTTGCCCAGTGTGGCTGTCTCAAACGTGAACTTGTAATCTTATGCTTGACAGCTAGACCTTTCGTTGTTGGACCAGGAAATGTCCCATTATGTTGTGTTGATTTAGTGATTCCATAATTATAATTTATTCAAAAAATTTTGAAACTCAAGACTTGGGTGGACTTCCTTTATTGTTCAAATTGTAGTTTATTAATTTTTTGTAGGGCTGTGATTTTGTATTATATCAAAACCATATATTGCATTCTGCAGGTTTTTTACTCCAACAATTAATTACCTTACTTCCAGGGGCCATAATCTACACATTGTGTGCATCTCAACTGGTAATACGTTGATTTTGTTTTATATTCAATTATAGTTGCAAACCTTTAGGATTTAGATATGCCTTCTTGTTTATGAATAACCTTGGCTTTACTTGAATCAACTTATCATCTGTCTACAGAAATTGAACAATAGTAATGTAGGTCGGAAGGAATCTAGGGGGCTCGTATGTCAGCCACAGTAGGTGGTTAAGTCTGAAAATGTTTTGGTGAATTTTTATTAGGTGCTTCAGATTACTCATAAATAATATCCACTTAAAGAGAGTCAGATGTTTTAGTTAGAGGCACATGATTTATTACTAAACGCTGAATTGCAAGCTAGTTTTAACTTTAATCTTAAAACATTAATTTGTTACATTTTCAATTTTAAATTTTCATACTTGAATTTTCAACATTGTAATTTATCATGCAAAAGTTTGCAGTATAAAATGTTAGTTTTATGAACAGCCCCTATCACGTTGAAGCAAGTTTGTTTGTTTGTTTTTTTTGTGTGTGTTACCAAAGCTATGAGCTCGCCTAATGGATAGGGGAAGTTCTTTTTTTCATGAATTGGTGCATCTGTGTTGGATCTTGTAAATATACAGCATGTTTACTAAATTTTGTCTTTGTGGATGAGGCTGTGTAAGTACTTTATAGGTGCTACTTGTGTCATACTTCTTAAATAGAAAATGTAAAGATTTTAAATCGACTTTGCATTGTATCTTTCCTGCAAATGTTATGGTCAAATACATAATTTCTTTCTTATTTTGTACTGCTTCAATGTATTATTTCTTGGCTTTTCTTAAATTTTTTTATAGTTTTCGCTGTTATGTAGGTAATGCAGATGGCATGGGAAACATCAGGAAAGAAGAGCTCTATCAGGCTTCTGCAGTCCTCAAGGTTATGATTGATCGGGCACATATTTTCTTTATCTACTGGTGTAATGCTAACCTCTGAGAATGAAAGCTTTCGTTATGCAAGTGTCATCTTTGTTACGCACTATTTTTATATTATTTTTAAATTGTTCCTTTATCCAAGATTGATAAGCCAAAATAAGGATTTGAAAAACAGTTCTAAAGATTAGCCTGTGTTGGTTTTTATATTCTGACATTTTGAATATGTTATTTAGGTTCCACTCCAACAAGTGAAGATCCTGGACCATCCAGATTTGCAGGTTCCTTTCTTAACCTTTGTAAATCATGTTCCATCTTTTGGTACTGTTTGAAATACAATATTAATGCAGAAGTTCAAATTAATCTGTTTGTCATTATTAGGATGGTTTTGGCAAAGTATGGAGCTGTGATTTATTGGCAAGAATAATTGAAGAGGAAATTCTTAGTCATGCCATCGATTTGGTAAGATATGGTTGCAATACTCATCCAAGTTACTTTGCCGTGGTTTCTTTATTTAGTTTTTTTCCTTGGTATATATTCTACACTTGCTTAGCTGTCTGATAAAGGACTGTCTAAACTTTTGGCTTTTCATTTTCCTGCTAATTGGTGTATGTTTGATCATATTCTGTTCCATACATTACTTTCTGTATGGTGTTCTCAGATTATTACTTTTGATAACTATGGTGTTTCTGGTCATTGTAACCATCGTGACGTCAATCAAGGGATACGGTAAGTTGATTTTGGTTTTGTTTTACTTTCTTTATTTTGAATTGCACTCAATCAATTTCTTGATTTCCTATGTTCAAAGAAACTTATATCAATTTATATCTCCAAGTGAGTGCCTATATCAATTTCTTTATTTTTATATCATGCGCTTGCAGTGCATTCACCCCGTCATATAAAAATAGCCAAAAGACCCTCATGTGGTTTTGGAAATTTTGCACTTAACCTCCCTACTCTGAAAAATTCCATTCACAATAGCAGAAAGTGTGTTATACTCACTCACTTGGAGAGTTTGACATAAAAATAAATAAAAAAAAATTCAAACTTTAAGTTAAGAGGACAAATTTGTCCTTCCTTTCATCATCTTCCTTCTCACACAAAAAACCAGAGAACCCCTGCGGGTTGTCTTTTGTACCTCGCCTCTTTAACCTACAGCACCACCACTCCTCTCACTCCTGCCACCGCCTCACCCCACTGCCGTCACTCCCAAAGTCACCACCACCACCTCACCCCCACTACACCAGACCAGATCCACACAAATCATCCCCTTAAAAATCAAAACCAGAACAATTGCACACATATTCCAGTCAACCCAGAAGAACAAGTGCACACACCAATCAACCCATCAAATATCAAACCCAAGTACATTAAAAAATAAAGAAAAAAAGATCAGCATGATCACACAGATCCCTCAGGTTCTCATCTCTGATTCACTGATTCTTTCAACACCCATGGAATTTAAGGGGTTGATTTTGATGCGTCAAGAACTCAACTTGCTGAGTGAGGTCTAATTGTTGGGGCAAGAACTTGACCTTGATGTAACACAACCCTTGCCGGAGAAATTTGATCAAGTGGTCCGATGTTTTAGGTGCATCTTCTATGGGGATTTGTGGGATTTAGCTTGTAAAGACCTCTTTTTTGTTAAAATGAATCAGAAAGTTTGTAACGAGCTCTTTGATTATTCCTTTTCCGCACAAATCAAAGTGACTGCCTTGTAACAAATAATATTGATAAAGTGATGCATGATAATTGCTTAAAGGCATATGCAGGGTTGATAATTGTTAGAATATAAAATTAAGTTTAAACTTATAATTTAGCTTATAAAATTAAGATGTTTGGGTTAATATGCGATTTAATCGGTTAGTATGTGACTAAGATAAAAATATTGGCTTTTAAAATCAGGGTGTTTAGGTTAATGTGTGATTTAATTAGTTAATATACAATTAACATAAAAGGTTATATCTATAATAGAAGCGAGGGAAACAGAAATAAGGTAGAGGCGTATTAAGGTCATTCTTCACTTACCGTTAACGGAATTAGTGTTGCATTTTAGTCCAAAATCACAAGAGTTCTCTTTGACTATTTTTAAATGATGGGGTAAACTGCTCATGGGTCAAACCACGAGGGGGTAAAGTAGATTTTGCCCTTAATTATTCTTCATTAATCATGTTCTTTTGTTCTCCCAAGGAAATTGTAAAGGAAATGAATAGCTATAAAATTTTTGGATATTGAAGATTACATTGTTCCAGAATGTGCATAATAAAATGTGAATTGCTAGGGGCATTAGCATTTTTTGGCAACACTGTCCTAACTGTTATCTTCTTGGTGAATGTACCATTCCCAGAAAAGGCTTCTAGCACTATTACAATGTTATTTCTCTGGCATGGTTTGCATACTATAAATGTTGAGAATGCCACAATATTCATGGATTTAACCCTTTTTTGTACTGTAAGCAGCAAGCTCTTGCGTGCCACTGCGGAAAGAGATCTTGAAGCTTGGGAACTTGTACGTTTTGTTTTCCTTCTTTATATTTTCCCAAATTTTCTTGGCATCAATCCACTCATCTGGTGTCCACCAATAAACAAATGATTCAAGTGATTCTTACAATCTGTAGATAAGGTGATAGGTATGGTTGTGAAATTCTTTTACACTGACACTCATTACCAATAAAATGTGAAGAATCTGACAGGGGTACTATATTTCACTTGGTTTAATAAACTTTCCTCTTCATCATGATTTGAAATTTTATTTTATGCTGGTTTCCTACAATGTTGTGAATTCTGTTCTTGTTGTTTTTAGGTTAGTACCAATATATTGCGCAAGTATAGTGGACCAGTCGACATCTGGTTGTCTCTCATGTATGCCATGTATCATAAAAAAGGAGAGTTGCATTGTATGCTGAATGAACATCCACGCAAAAGCTATATTGCAATGGCACAACACATGAGCCAGTGGATTTGGTATGTATGCTTTCATATCTCCTTCGTAAACAAGGGGAAGAAAAGGAAGATTAAAACCATCCTTGTTTTTTGTTAAATGAAATGTTGTTTGGTCTACATAGACGTTCATCTTATCATACTATGGCGCTGTTTGGGGCAGCTTATGCGAGCTGTTTATAACTTATTTATTTTTTTGTTTTTTTTAGAGAGTCCACAACTTATTAACCAGAAATAACTTAACTAAACTGAAAAAAAATAAAAATAAAAAGATTATCTGAAAGTTAAGGTAATGGTGCTTTTGGCTTATGCTTTCTAATTATTAGTCTTAACTTACAATAAGTTGCACTAAACAAGCCGTATATCTATGCTGTAATTGTTTGGACAACTCTTAAATGTGAAATTTCAACTAAAGGGTTCACTAGACATTTTTATTTTATTTTGTTTCTTGACTGATATTGATGTCTGTTCTGCAGGTTCCGCAAGCTTTTTGTGCTGTTTTCGAGTTATACTTACGTGAATACGCTGAAGAAGATCAACTAGTAGGTGCATGGGATAAGATACACTGGACAAAGAAGTAACTAACGACTTATGGAGTACATCTTGTTGTTTCCCATAGATTCTCCTTACATATTCTCGAATTTTAATCTAATTTTGAATAAATTTGGTTAAATATTTAGGACCCATCTCAACAAGATGAATGGTAGTCAATATTTAATTGTTGTTATATGCTGGTTCATCTGGAAGTCCAGGAATTCGTTCATATTTTGATGAAAAACAGCCTTTTGGGAAATTTGGTATTTTGTGGGATTTCGATGAGGCAGTGATTGCTATGGGCTCGTCTTCTAGATGGCAAACCGCACCAAGCAAAAGCATCTATGAGGATTCTATAAAATCGTTTGATGAAGCTATTGTTCCCCAGTTTGGTGCCTTCTCTTTTACCCCTAAGCTTTAAGCCTTTGCTGGTGAAAGATTTCCCTCCCAGAGGAATAGGGGTTGTCAATGATTGTTTCTCTATATTATAATTTTGTGGCTAAAGAACAGAATTTTGTTGTTACTTAACAAAGCAGTTCAGATTGGGTGATTCTATTACAGTGATGTACTTATTTTGTATTTCATTTTCACTTTATCTTTTGCATGTCATTCATACTTTGGGCATGTTATGACCTCAGGAGGGCGTGCCATGACCGGAGAGAATTCGTCATGTTAATTGAGTAATGAATATGGCCAATTGATCAAAACCTCATTCTTTGGAAATCAAATTGCACTTCATTGAAATGGATGAGAAAACCGGACTCTACATTGAGTTTGGCATGTTTTTATATATTTTTATGTTTATAAGAATAAATTTTTCTTTCATAAAATTAACCGTATCCCCTTTTAAGACAATATCCCTATATTTGCAAAGTATGGGTAGAGAGTTTACGATACAATCTGAAGTTGAATGACACATCCTCCGATTCCTCCATCTGCTTATCTTCTGGCTTTTACATCTTCAATGGATGATAGGATAAGTATAAAAGCATCCAAGTTATAATATTCATAATCAACTAATGCCATAGATTAGAAACTCAATGTCCAGAGCAACAGAGTTATTTTTCAGATCATCACAATTTTATTTGTCCAAATCTGAATTCAAAACTTCCCAACAAAAGTATCCCAATGAGATGACCAAGGCCACTTGAACTCAAATCATTTACGCTTCAAAACCAAAAATAGTTGGCTTCCATTCTTGAGGCTTGCTTCAAACTGGGAGAAAATCTCTGCAGATTTATTAAGAGTACGTTCAAACAATTCTTCAATGATCTTTTTGCCAAAGTGATTGGTGAACACTGCTTCAAAGCCAGCTCTAAGGTGCATTACTAGTGCCGGTATGTTAATTGATGGTCCATCAGTCTTTGCCGCGGGATTAGTTAACTCCATCCTCTCTATGCTGAAACACCCATTTTTTTCTACTAGCTGATTCATCTCATCGGGCGAAGGAGAATACAAAGGCAAGTTGAAGGCGTCCAGCTCATCTTCACTAATTGATCCCTACAACAAAGATTGACCATTGGTTACACTCTTATCTCACCAAGTAAATCAAAATGGGACACAAGCTTATTAAAGAAGTGAAGATTCATTATGAGATTTTGTTCACAAATATCCCTACCAAATTAGTACGACAGGTAGTTAGGAAAAAAAAAAAAAACTCTTGAATTGATAATTATTGAATCTAAAAGTAAGATGAAAACTAATCTCCTCTCTTTGAATAATAGTTAAATTTGATCATTCTAAGTGATCCTAGGTTTTGTTGCTTCCACAAATTTCATATGAATAAAGCTCATGATGATGACTTACAGCTTTCACCATATCAACAAGACTTTGCTCAAGAGCGAGGAACAGGACACCGGCTGGGTGATGAGCATGATCGTGTATGTTTGGAAGAGCTGGCAAGGTCACTATCATCATCCCTCCCACTTCAATCTCATCAGCTCTGGCGTTAAAAAAGGTCTGCATGTCCTTGGCAAATTGAGTTGTATAAGCATTAATAACTTCTTTTGGGGCACTTGTGTAGTGAATTCTTCCCTTATTCCATGCAGGACAACTCTTGTCTAGTAGCTCTTCTGGCACCTTAGAGAGCCAATGGAGTGCAATAGAGGAATGTACAAAATGAAGAGAGGACTATGGGAATAACCGACCATGGAATGAACCAGGCACTCCTGTAGCAAAGTATTGCCTATCGGGAGGGAGGGAAGAGAAAAGGCGGTTGAAATCATTGGAAGTATGATCGCTGAAAAATAGTTGAAATTCGGGCATCTCAGAAGTTACATTTTGGGAATGAAATTTCATTTCCATGGCTTCTAGTACATTTTGCATAGCAATGAAAGTGTTTGGCCCAACAGAACAACCCAAATCTGCAATTCGGATAGTGTTTGAACTAGGGGTGCAACTCGGGCGGGTTCGGTCGGGTTGGGGGTCTGTCCAAGCCCGACCCGAATTGTATTTGGCACTGCCCAAGCCCGCCCAAGCCCGACCATGAACCCGAACATTGTTGCCCAAGCCCGGCCCAAGCTTTGTATTTTGAACTCGGGTTGCCCGAATTGCCCGAATTGCCCAAATTGCCCGAGTTCAGAAACCTGTAGGTAGATCTAAGAGTAGACATAAAAGATGCTAATCTAATGGTAGAAAACTAACCAAAAAAAAATAAAAAATAAAAATTAAGACTAACTTATATATTACATAATTTATTAAATTATATATATATTATATATTATATATTATATAATTTATATAATATATTAAATTGAATTGAATTCGGGTTCGGGTTGCTCGGGTTGGCCATTGGTTCTGCCCAAGCCCGGCCCGAATTACAATTCGGGCATCAAAAATCTGCCCAAGCCCGTCCAGATTACAAGATATAGTTGCCCAAGTCCTAAAAAAACTCGGGCTGGGCTCGGGTTGCTCGGGTTGAGCCCGCCCGAGTTGCACCCCTAGTTTGAACTGAAACTGAGGCTTGTTATGTCAAACTTGTCAACAATTGCATCTTTGATCATTTCCTTTACAGAATCTGAAGCTGTTCTCTGCAAAAAAATAAACCAAATGTGTATGTTATTCATGTTTTTTGTTTATCATTACTATAATGAATGATTGGTGCATTTTAAGTTTGCTTTAGTTAAAAACATAAGATCTACTTGAAAATTAATCAATGGAGTCATATTTGCTGACCAACTTTGTTATCTTTTCATGACATCACTATGCGGAGATATGAATGAATGAAATTTCTAAGTATTGAAACAAAACCAAAAAAAAAAAAATCAACTGTCTCAAAAAAATAAATTCATGATACAACAAAACTTAAGGGGCAAGTGTATAATAGACAAAACCTTAAAAATGTTGTAAGGATCGAATTGGAACAAATCAAAAAGTTGAAGAACCAAATTCATGAAATTCAAGTACAAGTACTAATCTAAAACTTTGAAGAAATTAGGAGGACCATTGATGTAATTGGCCATTTTCTTTTCTAATATTAGTTCAAGACTATAATGAAATTTGGAGATCACTTCTCATCATAATGGGAGGAACTCCTACAAAAAAGTTTAGTATTTTAGGAAGTCATGTGTCATTTTAATTGGTGTTGCAAGTTTTGGTTGAGATTCATACCAATCTTTGTTCTCACACAAAAAATTCATTAATATGAATCTAATTTGATAAATCTTCATGAAAAATTTTACATATATCAATTTTTATCAAACACAAGGCCTCTCCCAAACTCAAACCATCGTTAACAAGGGGGAGCTAAATAAACAAAGCATGATATATATATATATATCAATATATTTTTAGAGAATCTTGTAATGAAATTTATTTCTTTAGAGCAATTACAATGGGATGTGAGAGGGAGATTTATGATCTGGAATTGGGCCGGACGGGTTTGGGCCGAACAAGGGTTGGGCCGAGGTAGTACGGCCCTTGTCTTGGAAGATCCTGCTCGGTTAATGCAAGGCGTGGTTTGACCGAGCTACATAGCTTCTTGGTATTGAAGCCTGTCAAATGGGTTGTCCGGCGCCAGGAAAGACAAGGTTGGACCGAGCTATATGTGTTTGCTCGACAGTAAGGCCCACGGCAAACAAGCGTAGCTGTCCCGAGCTCGGCAATGCTGGGATATGCCCGAGCTCGGTCGAAGCGGAGCGCGGCGCTTTGGCCAGCTATACAACACGGCCATCTACAGCCGAGATGATGCAGCCTGGCTGCCGAGCTCCCAGTAGAGTGGGCTGGCAGTCGGGTTAGGTGATGTTCAGCAAGATTTGTGCTGACAATTGGGATAGTAGCACCACGTGTCGAGAGACGAATGAGAGTGGATTTGGCATGCAGAAGGTATATAAGTAAGTCTGCGCCCCCCATGCTGAGACAGATGAACATTTGGTGAGATTTACACTAAACACTCAATCCTCTCTATCTCTCTCTCTATCCCTGTGTGTGTCTAACTTGATCGTTGGAGGGGTATTCCGGCCACACACTGCCGGGTAGCTCACCGCCGTTGTGCTCACAGGTTGATCGGACAGGCAGGAGCTTGGAAGAAAGGAGTACGGGCTTGCCGGAATATTTGCTCCCCGTACAATTGGCGCTGTCTGTGGGAAATTGACAGACAAAACCTTGTCTTCCAGGTTCGTCCGATCGCCGTCCATGGCGAACAACGAGGAGATTCCGCTGTCCGCCGTCGACGGAATTACCCCGGAGTCAGGCAGACGGAGAGAGGGGCATCCCACCATCGTTCCTCCGATGGCGGCCCTGGAGATTTCTCCAGGAGGACATTTCAGAGACGCGTGGGATAAGTGCGGAAGAAGTTATGGTCATTCACGGAGTCCAGACGGTCATCGGCGGCGGAGAGACTCACATGCTAGACGTCTGGAACACAAGTTAAGGGACCAAAATGCCGTCATCCGGCGTATGGTGGCGGAGATGGAGGAGCTGAAGCGGCATGTCAAAGGGAAGGGTGTAGTTGGAGAGGGAGACCACGGTGAGCGCACCCAACCCCGCCATTCAGGCAGTCAGAGTCAGCGGCACACTCCTTCCATTTCTATCACCAGAAGTTACAAGGTTGCAGATTCCGATGTGCACGAAGGGAAGTCTAGCGCACAAGACAGCACCTATCAACCCTTACGTCTGGCGACGACGTCAAGGTATTCTTATTCCGCTTGTTCTGAGGATTTGCGGGCAGTTTTGAAGGAACGGGCTCGCCGGCGGGAGGCTTAAAGGGTGCCGGCGTTCCAACGGCTATCCTATGGGGTTCACGCTAGCGAGGAGGTCGGAATGCCTTTACCCCGCCCAGCCGTGCCTCTCCTTGTGGATACAGACTTGGCGAGGCTGAGTGCCACCCCATTCTCCGTGGATATAGAGACCGCGCCGCTTCCGGCGGGCTTCCACTAGCCAAAGTTCACGCTCTATGACGGAAAAATCGACCCGTATATACATGTAAGTCATTTCCGACAGGTCATGGCCGGACATAGGCGGAATGATGCTCTTATGTGCTTGATCTTCTCGTCAAGTTTGGGCGAGCTGGGTTTGAAATGATTCGAGAGGTTGCCGGAGGGGAGCATTGAAAGGTGGCAGCAGTTGGCCGAAACCTTTGTGACGCGCTTCAAAACCAACACCAAAACACCGAAGGAAGTTGATCACCTCCTTAGTGTCAAGATGGAACCGAGCGACACATTGAAGGCATACAACTCTAGATATTAGGAGACCTTCAACGAGATTTTGGATTGCCTGGTCAACCTTGCAATCACACAATACAAGCGCGGTCTTCCGGTTGGACATAGACTGCGGGACTCGCTTACCATGCACCAGCCGACATCCATGGGCTAGCTAATGCAGCGCATCAATGAGCACATCCGAGTGGAAGATGATGCGTCAGCATCTACTGTGAAGGCAACTCCGGTAGCAACGAACAAGCGATCAGCTGGCAAAGTGCACGCCGTCGGCAGGAGTCCGGCCGATCCAGCAACCGCGCTGAGGAATCGGACCGTGGCAATAATAGCAAAAATCGGGGTAGGGGACGTCGGAAAGACCGGGATGACTACCCTAGGGATGACGTAGCCGATGAAAATAGAAGGTTGAGAGCCAGGACAGGTATCACCACGGTCTTTAAGATTCCAATCTATCGCATACTTAGTGAAATCCGTGACGAGGAATACGTCCGGTTTCCTGCTAAGTTAGGCGACGGAAAGAAGGGCTTCAACCCAAGGTACCGTTGAACGTTTCACCGGGAGCGAGGCCACCGGACAGAGGACTGTTTGCCTTTGAGGCAACACTTGGAAGAGCTAGTCGCAACCAGACACTTGGATCTTTACATTGATAGGGCGTGAAAGCCAATCAAGCTCTGGTTCACCCACGGGGACCGGATGACCGAGATGCGCCTCCACAAGGGGTGGTTAATGTCATCCACGGCATAGTGGAACCGGCGCGTGTATGCGAGCTCCGAGGTATGATCAAGAAAGCAGAACACATGAGGGAAGTTTTGTCGGTTCAGCCTGCGATCAAGAGGGGGAAGACCGAAGAGAAAGAAGTGATCAGTTTCTCTTCAAGAGACTTAGAGCACATCCAGACGCCGCACAACGATGCCCTGGTGGTTACACTCCGCGTCAAAGAATTTGATGTCAAACGGATCTTGATCGATCAGGGAAGTTCGGTCGAGATCATGTACTACGACGCTTTCAAATAGCTCAAGCTCCGGGATACAGATTTGGCCCCAGCAACTTCGCCACTGGTTGGTTTCAACTCACAACCGGAGTGGCCTTTGGGAAAGATTATCCTGCCGGTCAAAGCGGGATCCGTGGTCAAACAAGTGGAGTTCTGGGTGTTGCAGGTGCCATCTACTTATAATTTGATCTTAGGAAGGGGATGGCTTCACGCTATGCAAGCCGTAGCGTCGACTTATCATCAGGTGATGAGATTCCCTTTGGTTATGGGGGAAATTTGGGGCGATCAAGTCATGTCGAAGCAGTGCTTCGTGGCGGTCAACGGGAGTCGAGCTGCCAAAGGCTTCGTTCAAATGATTGAGAGACCGGAAGATCGGGGAGTCCTCGACGATGTGGGCACCAAGGTCGAGGACAAAGCTGTCGAGGAATTGGTGGAAGTGTGCATTGATACCGAGCATCCGGACAAGTTCTTTTTGCTCGGCTCAAGCCTTACAACCCAAGAAAGAACCGACATGGTTGAGTTCTTGATGGCCAACATTGAAGTCTTCGCATGGACACCTTACGACATGCCCGGTATCGATCCGAGCTTTACATGCCATCATCTCAATGTCTTCCCCGGGGCAAAGCCGGTCATTCAACGCATAAGGAGATCGGCGCTACATCATGCCGAGGTAGTTACGGAGGAAGTGAAGAACTTGCTTGAGGCGCGAGCAATTCAGGAAGTGCACTACCCGCGAT